CTGGCCAGGCTGAGCTGGCCTGGGGGCTGTGAGTCAGCGGAGTCTGAGATGAGGTCACTCTGAGAACTGGGGAGAGTGACGGGCTGTGTGTGGTGTGTGTGTGTGTGTGTGTGTGTGTGCGTGTGTGTGTGTGTGTGTGTGTGTCTGGCGCGTCATCGCAGCGCACAGAATGTGCCTTGCTGTGCCTCTTACCACGACGTGTGTCGGGATGCCCTCTCTCCACGACGGGCGTGCACGTTCTTGCTGCAGACCCTCACACTTCGCCACACGGGTGCACACTCAGGCGCACACACGCCGGCTTGGGCCGCTGTTACAGCACACTCACCCACGTGGGCGATTCTTACTCATTTTCCTAGAAGTCGGTAAAACCCGGTAAGACGAAGAGACAGGAGACAGATTCAGAAGAGCAGAGGGCTGAGGACCATAGGGAGAGACCCAGAGACGGCGAGGCAGGACGGAGAAAAACGGGCTCTCCGGCCATCCCGCCAGCTCCAGAACCTTCACACCGCATGCAAACCCCGAAGCAGCTGGCCTCGCCCCCACATTCCTCTCCTCGCCCCTGGACTCGCTTGCCCCTCCTGCCCTCCCCACACAACCCAGCCTGGCACAGCTAGGGAATGTGCTGTTTCTTAAGGAGCTACGGGGAAGAGGAGGATCTTGGGGCCAGAGTAGACCCCTGCTTCATACCGTACTGCCCTGGATGGCCCGCTCATGGCATTTTTAGGGTTGTCCGGGAGTCTAGCTGGAATCGTGAGTGGGTCAAGACCAAGGTGGGCTTTCGAAGGTAGCGCCTGCAGAGGAGAAGGCTGAGCAGAGGAGCGGGCAGTGTCTGCCCCTGGGTTCCTAAGGCAGGTTGTCTGAGAAACATACCCTCGCAGGGCTGGAGTTCAGATGGCGCGTGGGATTTCCCAGCGTCCCTGGTGGGGGCCTGGAAGGTGCTTTGTTTCCCCAGCCCAGCGGGCACGCTATCTCCCTGCATCTCCCCCGCCCCCCACCCCCGGTGGCAGGCAGGGGTCTGCCATCCTCTCTGACCAGTGGATGAGGAGCCCCCTAGAGATTGACGCAGGGCTGGAACCAGAACGCTTTCCGGCTCGGACACCTGCTGGGCTGCTTGGGCAGGCTGGCCGGAAACGGAAGGCTCTGGCTTCTGGCTTCCTCAGGCTTCCCGGGGAAGGGAGAGGTGGTCCAGGGGTGACTCAGCAGCCTGCACAGAATCCAGCCCTGGCCCAGGCAGTCTGCGCTGGGGCGGGGGGCGCTGTCTTCGCCTAGGGAGGGGCCACTGGCCCTTCACAGAGTGTCGGCCTATCCCTGGGAAGCTGGAGTAGGGGTACACCTGTGTCTGCCTCCAGGGCAGAGCACAGACCTAACCGGGCACCCATCCCTGCCAAGGACCTGGACATGTGCTTAAACTCTCAGCCTTTCCCACGTGTCTAAAATAGGGTCCCCCTCAGCTATCCTGTTTCCGGGGATGAGGGAGGTCAGAGTATGTGGGTGTAAGTGGGGAAGGGAGGTTCAGCCTGGGCGAAAGTTGGGGGCTTGGGCGCTGAGGAAGGGCCTCCGAAGTTCTCCGACTGCCAGAGTCCCCAGCTTCCTGCCGGCTGCTCTGCCCCACACCCCCCTCCCTGTGCCTCTCCCGCCTCCCCCTCCCCCTCCGCGCCACTGCTCACACCGCCCTGACCTTCCCCGGGCCTTTGTCCCCGCTCCTGCACAGGGGGAGAAAGGGCCCATTGTCCTGCCTGCTGCGACAGCAGCTCCCGAGACTCAACTCGCAAAAATGCTCAGCCTGTCGGAGCCCAGGGTGGGGGGCCGCCCCTGGGGGCTGCGGTGGAGCCCTCTCTCCCGGTTGCCAGGCTGGAGGTCCTTCCCGGTCTAGCTTCCACCCGGCCTGCTACAGGGCAGCCTCCTTCTGGGAAGGGAAAGCTGGGGACCCGGGGCGGAGCAGGGCCTTGCAGAGGGAGAGGGTGTTGCAGGCCCCTGCAAGCCCAGGCCGTCAGTGGGCCGCCGGGGGGTCTGTGGCCTCTTCTGACTTCCTGGTGGCTCCCCCTTAGGCTTCAGATGGCTCGTCACAGGGGGAGGCCGCTGACCGCTTTGGACGGCAGCCCTCAGGGGGAGTGCCCACAGCCCCCTGGCCCGTGTTCTACGGACCCCGGGTGCATCTAGGGGCTCAGTATCATTGGCAAAGGATGGCACCCTGTGCCTCATCTTCCCCATCAAGGTGAGCGGAGGCTCTCACGTAACTTCCTGGGGGATGAATGATTCTGGAGGTGGAAGGGGGGACCCAGGAGGGGGTCAGAGCCTACAGGGCATCTCCCCACCCCCGAAGCCTCCCAGCCCCGCTCCTGGGCCCCTGGCAGCTGAGCCCGCAGCTGCGGGGAGGAGGGAGAGCTTCCTCGACAGTGGACAGCGGCCCGGCACCTGCGTCCGTCTATTCCTGGAGTCACAGCTGCGTCACGGGGAGAGTGAGAGTGACCGCGGCGAGGGGTGGGGAGAGAAGGCTGTAGGGGGACAGGGCTCTGGGCCCCAGACTCTGGGGCCAGAAGGACTAGTGCCACAGCCTTGAGAACAGGTGGCAGGCGTTCGGTGACGGAAGGGCCAGGGCCGTCCACACCGGAGAGCCTGGGATAGTGGACCTGGGGAAGGGGCGGGAGCAGGAGTTTGGAGCTGGGG